CCCAAGAACCCCCAGCAGCCCAAGCAGTCCGTTTGCGTCCATCGCCCAGGCAAGGCGATGGGCCATGCGGACGCCCTGAGCTGCCTACCGCTGCCGGACTGTGACCAGGATCCTGCTCCCGCCCACCAGATCGCTCTCCTGGAGTCCCTCCCAGATCGGCCGGTCCACATCACGGAGGTGGCTCGCTGCACCTCCAGGGACAAGGTACTTTGCTGGGTCTTGGACTGGGTGGTGAGGGGGTGGCCCACGGCCAAAGGAGACCCTGACTTTATGCCCTTTGCTTCTTGGAAGGACGAGCTGTCTATCCACAAGGGCTGTGTCATGTGGGGAAGTAGAGTGGTCATCCCTAAACCCTTACGGGAACGGGTCCTTGCCACTCTTCATGAAGCACATCCTGGGGTGGTGCGCATGAAAGCTCTGGCCCGGAGTTATGTCTGGTGGACGGGGATGGACTGGGACATAGAGGACGTGGTGAAGAGGTGTCAACCTTGCCAAGCGTCCTGGCCCGAGCCACCCCATGCCCCGGAACGGGCCTGGGAATCTTCCCACCACCTCTGGTCCCGGTTACACTTGGACTTTGCGGGACCATTCCAGGGGCAACTTTTCTTTATACTGGTGGATTCCTTCAGCAAGTGGCTGGAGGTAGTTCCCGTGCCTTCAACCTCCTCGAAGGCGGCCATCCGGGTGATGAGGCGGATATTCAGCACCCAGGGAATCCCGGACACGCTGGTCACAGATAATGGGACGGCATTCACGTCCACGGAGTTCCAAGACTTCATAAAGTACTATGGTATCCGCCACATCTGATCTGCCCCGTTCCACCCCGCAACCAACGGCCAGGCCAAGCGCATGGTCAGAACCACGAAGGACGCTCTCCGCTGCTTGGACTCCTCAGACTGGAACTATAAACTGGTGGCTTTCCTTTTCGGACAGCAAACTACGCCCCACACCACTACAGGGCACAGTCCGGCAGAGCTACTTCTCGGCCGCCGCCTGACAACCCGGCTGGATCGCCTGCACCCCGACCGGGCCTCTGCAGAGGCACCAGGCACGGAGACGCACGAGGCAGCCAGGGGATTCTTCCAGGAGGATTCCGTGTACGCACGGAACTACGCCCGGGGACCAGCCTGGATTCCGGCACGAGTAGTATGAGTTAAGGGTCCAAGATCGTATGAGGTTTCTTGTGAAGACGGGCAGATTCTACACTGGCACATCGACCAGTTACGCTGCCGGACAATGCCATTGGATCCCGAGGAGGCCCCGGATACCTCAGCCCTGACCCAACAACCGGCAGCCAAACACCTGCCTCTACCCATGGTGGCATCCGAGGCACCTCTTCCGGCGACAGCACCGCCGCCTCCCCCGGCGCCTCTGCCGGTCAGCTCGCCTTCAATGGCTTCAGGGGCGGAGGCAGCAGCAGTTCCCGAACTTCGCCGCTCTACCCGCACCAGGAAGTTGCCAACCCATCTGAAGGACTTTGTCTGTGGGTGTGTTGCGGACCAAGGTGGGAGGGGTGTAATATACTCAGTTCAGACAGCGTGGCCAGCTGGGGCTCCATGCGGTCAAGCGCAAACCTAGAGCTTCACTCAAAAAGACAATGAACTATGTGGATCCTAGCCCGCACCAATCAGGGGGCTAGGTTCCCAGCCTATGGAACTCTCAGCCACTGTAAATAACCTATTGGGAAGTAGGGGGGTGTTATGGGTGGCAGTTTCACGGGGAATATAAGCCGGCCTGTGAGCCGGCTAACATCGTCTTGTTCCTGATCTAATAAAGTACGCTAAGCTGAAATCACTCTCCGTCTGCGTACTTTTCAAATGCCATAGAATCCATCCTCCAAAGCAGCCATTTTCTCCAGGAGAACTGATCTCTGCCATCTAGAGAGAGTTGTAATTCTGGATGATCTCCAGTCCCCACCTGGAAGTTGACAGACCTCCTTCCCCTGGAGGAAATGGCTGCTTTGAAGGCCGGAGTCTATAGCATTATACCCCTCTGAGGTCCCTCCCTTCCTCAAACCCCACCATCCCCAGGCTCAGCCCCCCAAAACTCTTTAAGAATTTCCTAATCTGGAGTTGGCAATCCTATCCTCTTCCCACCCAATAGCCAACCTACTTATCTGCCTCTCTGTTAAACTTTTCCATTCCCCACTTCTAGCAGCCTCTACCTAGGAAAACTGTACCCCAATTATCTGGTGCCAGCCACTGGGCCAGGCTACTTGCATGGTAGGGAACCCTCAAGAACTTGTGGGGTGGCAGTTCACTTTCCTCTGTCTCCCCCTGCCCACACTATTTCCTCTTT